AGGAGAGGCTTTTGATATGGCCCCAGCAAACATTGCAATTGTTCAAAAGGTTTCAAATTTTGACTTCATCCGTGTTTCATTTCTTACAGGCTGAAATTTCCAAACCAATGACTGATGAAAAAACATCCCATTCTGCACCGCACTCTTCAATTCATTTTAGTCAGATGTGTGATTTCTTTTATTTAACGTGCGCACTGTAGGCACTGAAACGAGTTCTGCCACTATTTGTTCAGTGAAAAGAGATTCAGCATCCTGCTTTATCAAACACATTTCGGACATCCTCTATACAAAGTGGCAGTCATTCTAGCTATCTGTAAGGGTCCTTTTCAAAAAATAATAATTTTTAAGGATATCTCATGGTCTCTTCGGAAGAATAATTTCCAGTGTTCAGCATTAGGGTGAATTTTCAAGCCTCTTTCTCTTCGCAGGCTGTTTTTGTCTAACATGAAATAACTTCAATACATTTTGGATGTTTAAGAATCCTATTTATAATTCAGTGAAGGGCTGAAATTTAAATTGTTTTGTATTTCCATAAATGTGCACTTATGTAGATAGTTGTGCCAGGGGCAGAAGGAAGAGTTCTGAGCCAGAAATGAAATCAGCCAAAAGGCCCTTTTAATATTGTCCTGGTGGCTGGCTGTGACCTGCCTCCTCTCTGGGTCTTCTTTGAATACAAATTCCATGGTTGTATTCTGAGCCATCCTATGCTGTTTTTTCTTTTCCTATTCAGTACACTTGAATATATCAAATGGTTGGCTCAATATTAAGTCAGGCAATCTGAAAAACGAGGCAAAATGCAATAGGAATAAGTGGGATAATTTAGCTTTTCTAACGTTCTATTTTATCAGCAATTTAGTATTTCAGAATGCTATTTTTCAGAATCCTAATATTTTGGTAGCATAGCTTTTAGTATGTTCCAGATTTCCCCCCCTAACGTATTAGTATTTGCAGACGTATAGGTAGTCCTCAACTTACGACAGTTTATTGACCATTCAAAGTTACAACAACACTGAAGAAAGTGGCTTATGACCATTTTTCACACTTAACAACCATTGCAGCATCCATTTGGCCACATGATCAAAATTCAGATTTTTGGCAACTGACTCATATTTATGATGATTGCAGTGCCCTGGGGGTTATGTGATCAATTTTTGCAAGCTTCTGACAAGCAAAGTCAATGGGGAAGCTGGATTCACTTAACAACTGCAATGATTCACTTAATAACTGTGGAAAGAAAGGTTTCAGCTTGCTCAACAAACCTGGGGGTACTGAATAATAACGCTGCAGCCAAAGTGCTTCTTTGACGAAAGTGGGTTTATTCAATCTCCAGATCTGCCGCAGACAATGCTGAATTTAATGTAAAGCAACACAAAGTCGGCGTTGGGAGCTGCCGCTTCCCAGTGCCGTTTAAATAGCCGTGCCGGCCAACCTGTCAATCAGCTGCATATCCGGGTTACGCGGCTCTGCTACTGTTGTGCAGGCCATAATGTCAGTCCGTCGTTCTGATCATTCAAACAGCATGGCGGCAGGGTTCCAGCGTGAAGATACCTCACCCGACCGCAATGTGACCGGCCGCCTAGCCCATCGCCATCACCCCCCACCACCTTCGTGTGCACCCCCCACCCATCCAACCCAGCAGGAACTATGCAGGCCATCGTATAACCATCCGGAGTGTCGAGTGGGTGGCGTCTGGGGTCTCCGGTGAACGCTTCCCTAACCCCTGTTGTGTCGAGCCGTGGTGAGTCTTGACAAAAGGTGGTAAAAAGGTGGAAAACTCACTAAACAAATGTCTCACTTAGCAACATATAGTTTGGGCTCAATTGTGGTCATAAGTGGAGGACTACCTGTATTTTGGCTCACTCGTGAGTACTTTTAGTGCATCCATAGGGCTAGCCAAAAAAAAATAAAAAAAAAATGAAACTACTAGGCATGGCCACAAAAACTCCAGAACCTTCTTTAGATTTGAAGTTTGCAGAGAGCTTCAGTCATACCATCCTGCCTGCCAAGCTGACTTTGTTTTTTGATATTCCCATTGAGCCATTTGTTTTAATTGTTTCTCTGCTTCCGCTTTCTACCTCACATAATTTTTGTTGCCTTTCAATAAAAGATACTTTGCTACTCAATAGATAGGTTGCTACTCAATACAGGTAGTCCTCAACTTACAACAGTTCATTTAGTGACCTGTTCAAACTTACAACATCACTGAAAAAAGTGACTTATGACCCTTTTTCACATTTACGACCATTGCAGCCAGGGGTGGGTTCTAAAATTTTTTACTACCAGTTCTGTGGCGTGGCTTATTTTGTGGGCGTGGCTTGATGGTCATGTGACAATTATTTAGGATTTAGCAGAGGTACTGGTCTACCAGGCTTTTAACTGCTTGCAGAGCTATACCGATCTACCCATTTATTTTGTGCATGCACTGGTCTACCCACTTACTTTTGCAGGCACTGATTTACTCATGTATTTTTGCAGGCACTGATCTACTCATGTATTTTTGCAGGCACTGATCTACTCATGTATTTTTGCAGGCACTGATCTACTCATTTGTTTTCTTTTAACACTGATCAGCTGTAGGGCGGTCCTTTGAAGCGGCAAGAGTTTAAATAGTTTTTTTCTCTCTAGCCATCAGCTGGGACTCAGGAGGCAGCAATAGATTGGGGTTGGGGCCAAATAAAAGATAAGAATAACGCGGGGGCGGGGCGGGGGGCAGAACCGGTTCGGTGATGTCATATTGTCACTGCTACCGGCTCGGGAGAACCAGGCCGAACCGGGAGGAACCCACCACTGATTGCAGCATCCCATGGCCATATCATCAAAATTCAGACAGCTGGCAACTGGCTCCCATTTATGACTGTTGCAGTGTCCTAGAATCATGGGATCCCGTTTTGCGACCTTCTGACAAGCAAAGTCAATGGGAAACCAGATTCACTTAATAAACAAGTAACTAACGTAACAACTGCCGTGATATAATTAGCAACTTCTGCAAGAAAGGTGGTAAAAATGGGGTAAAACTCAACAAACGCTTTACTTAGCAACATAAATTTTGGGATCAATTGTGGTCATAAGTTGAGGACTACCCATACTGAGTTCTTTCTGAGATCTTTTTGTTATGCATTCTAAGGAGAAAGACTCCTGCCATCCTGCTTTGTGTTATGAAATGCATTCCCTCAGGAGTTTTGCTCCACTCAGAAAGTTCCTCTTCAGACATGCCTTTTCATTCTGAAATATAATTGTTAGTTATTTTAACTAGCTGCACTTTATTTTTTAATTGTTGTTTTCTGGAGTATGTGAGGTAGGTTGTTCTGCCCCAGCTACGGACCCCAAAGAACGCAGGACACACAAACTCTTTACAAAGCTTATTTACTCAAAATAACTTCGCCTTTAGCATTCAAAGGCTGTTAATGAACTGTCTTAACAGCCTACCAGAATTCTAAGATAAGTTAATCACAGTCTTACTAGAGTTGGCAGAAAGCCCAGAAGCAGTTTTGCAGACAGGAAAGAGGGTGAACTAAAGTTGTTCTCTACAGCTTGTTGCAAGCGGTGTTCCTTCTTAAATAGGCTAAGGGAGTGGCCAATTAGCCCCAAGCCTTACTCTCAAGGAGACCTCCTCCTGAGGAACCACTCCTGCCTTTTGGCATCTCTGCGTGCCCGTGCATTGAGAAGAGGCTTCTCGTCTTCATCCTCTTCACTTAAAGGAGCTTCTGGAGGTTCTGAAGGCCCTTGCTGAATCCTTGCCTCTGGCACCACGTCTTCTCCAGCCTCCTCACTGTCTGACTCAAGTGCCAACTGCACAGGCTGCTGGCACAGCACCACACCAGCCTCCTCATCGTCGGAATTAGCTGCAATCCGCGCAGGCCGCTGGCGGGCCACAACATAGGTATATAAAATATAAAAACTGAATCAGTATGAAAAAACAAACATGTTTTTAATAATTAACAATCTGTACGTTGTCTTCACCAAAGTGGATATTCTCTCATCCAGACTCTAAGCAACTGAGGTTTTTCAGTTTCAATGTCATGTACTGGATGGGCAAGTTCTACTTAACAATCTTTTGGTGTCCTAAAATAGTTTATTGGCTATTCCTGGAAAATAAGATCAGTTAAGAGAGGTCTTCAAGTATGGAAAAATATCAAGTGCAAAGTGATAATATATATATAAAGTATATAATCCATCATAGTATGGGACTAGTACACTCTGGACCATTTTGACCTTCTCAGATTAATGCCTTGGAATATTTTTGCTTAGGACAGTGAGTTTGTCGCTATAGGTGGATTTGCAATTAAATTTTGTTGTTTGCTCAGTCATGAGTTTGTAAGCCAAAAGTAACAGTGAGAAAGATTATTGTAGTGACCTAGAGCAGAGAAGGAGCTTGACTTCATCAAATGTTCAAGTATCACCTATGGCAAACATTTTCATCTTCGATACATTTCAGATCAGTCCGTCCATTGTTAGCAAGCTCCCTCTGTTCTGAAACATCTTGTCTTTGATAAAAGATATACATGTTCTCTTTTTCTATTTAAGGTCAGTTCTCTCCACTCCCTCCCTCTTATACTATGCAGGAATTAGATCCACCCTAGTTGTAGGCACATCTCAGGCACAAAGCCAGCTGGGTGACCTTGGGCCTCTCTCTCTCTCCCTCTCTCCCTCCCCCCTTCTCTCTGAAGGCAATGGCAAACCATTTCTGAAAAATCTGCAGGGACTGGTCCAGGCAGTTGCCTGGAGTCAAAAATGATTCAAAAGGAAAGAAAGAAAGAAAGAAAGAAAGAAAGAAAGAAAGAAAGAAAGAAAGAAAGAAAGAAAGAAAGAAAGAAAGAAAGAAAGAAAGAAAGAAAGAAAGTAATTATAGTTTCTTTGTGTAGCCCCTTCTTTAATGGTCTACGCATTCACTCTTAAGCAGGGGTGGGCAATTATGGCCCTTTTATGACCTGTGGATTTCAATTCTCAGAAGTCGTGAGCCAGTCATGCTGGCTTAGGAATTTGGAGAGTTTAAGTCTACAGGCTGTAAAGAGGCCATAGACGCCCACTCCTGTTCTTAGGGATGGGTAGATCTGTAAGTTTCAGTCCCTCTGTTTCTCCTTCATTCAGTTTTTATTGGTTTCACTCTTTCCTTTCATTTTTTTTTTGTTTTTGTTTTCCTTTAAAAAAAAATCTGTGAACTTTCTAAATTTTTATGCCCGTTTCTTCTAGTCTATAATTGTAAATGCAATTTTTATACTTGATTTTATAGCATTTATAAGGCTGTTGAGCATGATTCATTCATGATTCATGCACATTATTGTGTCTATTTTCTACTTCACAGATATTCTTGCACTGGTTGTTTGTATGAATGAATTGCATTGCTGTGTTTTGAGAGGAGCACGTGCCAAAGGACAACTGGTCTGAATAATCATACAAGGAACAGGAATTTTGAATCTTTGCAAACAAACATCCACTTTTCTTCATTGTTTTCAGCTCTACAAAGTTCCCACTCAGCTCACTAGTCTCCATAATGGTAAGCTACTCACCACATCAACCTTTTTAGCATTTCTGTCTGTTCTCCATGCTGTTTGCAATCCTAGGGAACTTCCTGGACTGTCTATCCTTGGAAAGGCCGATGAGGTGAGCCATTTTTTATTAGAAGGGAGGTTAGTTTCATATAACTGTCAGTTGCCATGGGAACTGTAATTACTTGACATTGTGATGTTAGGTTTTATTTTTCTTCACCTGTCCGTATTCATTTGTTTAACAAATACAAGATTGGGATTTTTGCTTAGATGTGTAAAATATTGTCTAACGTGAGAACTTGAAGATCAGTGCCATTGATCCAGTTTGGATTAAATGGACAGGTGCTTATTTTTTTTCACTATTTCTCCTTTAATACAACAAGCTTTTATTCCTGTAATTTTTGAACTCCATTGTGAGATGAATTTTAAATATTTTGGAACTACATTCCAGACACTTTATTTCTCAGAAATTGTCAGTTGGCATCAACTGAATTAATAATAAACTGTTGAAGCTTTAAGGATCTGAGCTCCTACTCGTGTGTTCCTAAGATTTTAATTTGCTTATTTTCCATTTTTCTGTGCCAGGACTTTTAGCCTTACCTATCTCCAATTAGGTCCAATATTTGAACACTCACCACTGTTTTCCATGGAAACTAACTAAGGCAGTGTGGAATCCTTATCCAAATTAAAGCTTTACAGCAGAATTGTGTTTAATTTAATTTTTATTGATGTAAGGCCAAAATAAGAACAATATTTTGCTGTGCAGTGAGTCCTTCCTTCTCATTAGGTGGCCAAAGTATCTGAGTTTCATCTTCAGGATCTGGCCTTCTAAAGAGCAGTCAGGGTTGATCTCTAGGACTGACCGGTTTGATTGCCTTGCAGTCCAAGGGACTCGCAGGAATCTTCTCCAGCACCATAGTTCAAAGGCCTCAATTCTTTGGTGCTCAGCCTTTCTTATGGTCCAACTTTCATAGCCACACATTGCAAATGGGAAAACCATAACCTTGACTATACACACTTTTGTTGGCAGGGTGATGTCCCTACTTTTTAGTAAGCTATCTAGATTTGCCATAGCTTTCCTCCCCAGGAGCAAGCCTTGTTTAATTTCTTGGCTGTAGTTCCCATCTACAGTGATCTTGGATCCCAGGAAAATAAAATCTGTTACTACCTCAATTTCTTCCCTATCTATTTGCCAGGAATTGAGGGGGCCGGATGCCATGAGTACATTACACCTGTGTTATAGGTCCTGCCTAAGCTCCCAATAAGTGTCTGGCTGCCATTTAAAGTGTTGGTTTTGATAATAAGTGCTGGCTTAGTGTCATGGTATCTTCAGGACTATATTCTTCAGCTAGAATCAACACATCCCAGAGGAATCACTTCTAAACTCCATTTATTAGGACATCAGAAGGATTGGAGGCCAAGAGAGATGCTTCTCTGTGAGGATCCCTCATTTTCCTCTAAAAAAATTAGACTTGCCCTAACTTTAAAACTCTTCAGCTTTCCAGAAGGAGATACAGAAGTCTTCTGAAGAGCAATAAGAGCAGGGGTGAAATGCTTCCGGTTCGGACTGGATCGCCGGATCTGGTAGCGATGGTGGTGGGTAGTTCGGAGAACTGATAGCAAAAATCCCTGCGGCCCTCCGCCCCCATGCCCAGCTGAGCCGCACAATCATCAGAGGCTTTTTTTTAACTTTTAAAAGCATTTTTTCTACAACCTCTTCCGATGCAAAAATGCTTTTAAAGGTAAAAAAAAAGGCTCTGATGATCGCGCGGCTCAGCTGAGATAATCAGAGGCTTTTCAAAGCATTTTTTTCTGCAACCTCTTGGCCAAAGAGGTGGTTTAAAAAATGCTTTGAAAAGTCTCTGACGATCCCAGCTGAGTTCCCTGATCGGCAGAGAGGCATTTTTTAAAAAGCCTCTCTGACGATCCCAACTGAGTTCCTGATTGGCAGAGAGGTTTTCAAAGCATTAGAAAAAATGCTTTGAAAAGTTTTTTTCAAAAAAAGTTGGCCACGCCGACCCAGTCACATTACCCTCCCCCCCACCAAGCCATGTCCACAGAACCTGTAGTAACAGATTTTACATTTCACCCCTGGATAAGAGCTTTTTATTTTAACAATAGCTGATAACTCGGTGTTACCTGGGTATTTATTTATCCCAATCCTGTATTAGACAGGAAGAGCAACTTCACCCTGAGTCCTGCTTTTGGTGAGAATTAAAATAGTTAAAAAATATTTTCCCTGTGTCCCCAGAAGTGTGAAGTAAAATGATACCACCTTGTTGTTTTGCTAGCTGATCCGTGATCATTTGGTATGCTTTTTTAAAATCTTGATTTAGAAGTGGCTTCTTTTCCGCGATATATGCACTAAGCTTTTCGACGTTGTAGTTCTTTTCTTGTATGTAATCTGTGTGAAGTACATCGTGTCGGTCTTGTAATGGTGCAGACAGGCCGAGTTGCAGTAGTGTTTTATTGATCATGGTCATACATTTGTCCTCAAGAATAATCAAAGCCTTGTTGAAAATGTCCAGACCAAACACAATTTCTAATGTTGGATTTTCCGCTTTACCAGTGGGAACCCCCTTGTGGAGTACTGTGACATGGCAACTCCCTGTGCTGTACAGTAGAAGCCATTTTAAGGCAGTACAGTAGCAGCCATTTTAAGGCACAATTGGCTGTATCTTAACAGAACACACACCCCGAAGGATGTTAGGGGTGTCTTACCCCTACAGTATTTGTTTCCAGAAAGTAAGTCATCTGTGTACCAAGTTTGGTTGAAATTGCTCAAGGCGTTCCAGAGTTATGCTGGAACATACACACATACACACACACACACACACACACACACATAAACACACACACAGAGAGACATTATATATATATATATAATGTATATGTATATATAATGTATTATATTCCAAAATGGTGGAAAATGCCATCGATGGTTGATGATCAAACAATAGAAAATATGGCCATGTGGAAGAGGCTTTATATTAATTAGTATACTGAAACGGCAGGCTACCTGTCTGAAAACTCTTTTTTCTCTTTTACGTTGTTCATTCTTTTGCCCTTTTGCATGGTTAATTCATATTCTGCCCTGTCAAAAATACATACATTGTATGAATGGGAAATCCTTAGTAGGGAGCTTTTCTTTTCTCTATCAGACACATGCAGTTCTTCTTGGAAAAAGCTACATGAAAAAATAATTCCAGTAAATCACACTTCCATTGTGCTGCTTTCCTCCTTTTAATGCTTTTGCTCATATTCAAGAACAAATGTTTCCATTTTGTTAGGCATTTTGCTATTTTCATTCTCCCAAATTACTTTGATGCCATTAAGGAACCATGCAATGATACCCTTGTCTGAGTATGAGAAACAACTTGTTTTCAATTTCAAATTGTTTCATTCCTCCTCCCCACTTTCTTTTCTTATATGCAGAGAAGCATTCTCATCCTACATCCAGAACCATGTTTTCACATTTTGCCTTGGAAAACAGTTGTAATAATCACTATTCTAACCATGTTAAAACCATCTCAATGTACACAGTATAATTTCAGCTGCCATCTGGCATTAGACCATGGCATTTATATATCTTACATCAGTGTTCTACTTGGCAGACAGCACAGTCACAGAATTCAATCTTTCTTCATGAGATCACCAGTTTGGAAAATATTTCACATTAACTGTATACAAAGATTCTCATTTTGGATGATTACATTGCGCTCTCTCTGAAATAAATGGATGTTGCTCAGATAGATACTTTCAGCTTGATTTCCATGTGACAAAACTCAGCTTAGACTGTAATGGATACCTGGTTGGCTGGCATAAGACATGGATGTTGAATTACAGTACATCATTGGTAAAGGATTGATACAGATTTATAATTTTATTGGTACAGATGTATACACCTTTGTATACCTTTGTACATTCTGAAACCTGCAATGTTAACCCCATATTTTCAAATCATCAGTCTTCTGCTTTCAATGAAAAATGTTCCATATCTTGAATTTGAACTACAGTATGTTGAAATTTAATTACAGTGTATTTTAAAATGTCTTTTTTAAAGTTTATAACAGTTTATAACAATAGTTTATTGTTTAAAGTTTAAAGTTTATAACAATAAGTATGAACAGTAAAAAAGTACTTCTTTTTTCAGTTCTTGTTCTTGGAGCAGAAATGCAAAATATTTTTAAATTATTCTTTTTATCATATAAGAAATGAGCATCTTTCCAATCTGAAGGTTCTGCTTTATTTTTTGTTTTTTTCTAGAAAGGCATCACACACAATCCTTCCCTTAGGTAACTATTGTTAAATAACTACCACCCTCAGTATTTGTTAGAAATTCTTCTCTCTTTTATCACGGCCAATTAGCTCTTTCAATCAATCTCAATTTACACCTACGCAGTAGAAGAACTCAGACCAGAGGTGAAATCCAGCAGGTTCTGACAGGTTCTGGAGAACCGGTAGCGGAAATTTTGAGCACTTCAGAGAACCGGCAAATACCACCTCTGGCTGGGCCCAGAGTGGAGAGGGAATGGAGATTTTGCAATATCCTTACCCCAGGAGTGGGGAGAGAATGGGGATTTTGCAGTATTCTTCCCCTGGAGTGGGGTGGGAATGGAGATTTAAACAACTGTGCCACACCCACCAAGCCCACCAAGCCATGCCCACAGAACCGGTAGTAAAAAAAATTGGATTTCACCACTGATTCAGACGCAATGCTATTAGGATCAAACCACAGAAGGAATCTAATTCAGGCCAGGCCAAATCCAGGGAGAAATTGTGGAACAAGATTCATAGCTTGTCCGTTCAATGTCCTCTGAATTCAAGATAGGAATCCATAGCTGAAAAATGCATTGTGGGGGTTGGGTGAGGCCCAGGCTGAGAATAAGGTAAAGGATCTGACAGATAGCACTAGCCTCTAAGGCAGTGAAGGTGAACCTTTTAGACACGAAGTGCCCAAACTGAAAGTGTGTGCGTGCAAATGAGCGCACATATGGACATGTGCATG